TTTTTCGTCAAGACGGGGGACAAAAATATGTGTTATAATCAGTTAATCACACAGCAACATAACATGCCTCTAAATATCCCAACATTGTTTCACTTATAATTATTGCATGTTGTATCATTATATGTGTTACTATTCTTGTGTATAATTTCTTAATATAACACATGAATTAAGGATAACTTCCTAAATTTCTTACAGAAAATAAAATTATTTTCATAAAATTTCTTTTTTATTATTCTTCTCAAATACAAATTGCTGTGAGAGTCTTGAAAACAGAGACAATATATAACAATGTTCTATGTCGAAAACAAAGTAAATTTCAAGTAACTGAATTTAAAACACAAACGGACAGTCTCCAAAGCAATTGTCCTCTCCTCTGAATATCATCAGTTTGTGTGGGATGTTTACATTTGTCTCCAATTTAGCAGAAAAATCACATTCTTCATTATTCTGGAAAATATTTTAATGAAATTTATTTACATGTACATAATCTACATTTCCAACACTTGTTAAGTATTTGATTGTTCTATTCAGATAGGTATTCACAGATATTTCAAGGGATCAACATAATATAATTATCCTTATAAGTTAAATACAGTACTTATATTAGACCAACCTAGAAATGCAGTTAATGCAAGGTTATAATTCAGTTAAATTTTTCAAGTGAGAAACACATGCTGGTTATTTAAAGGCTTATAATTGCTTCCTCTGTGATAAATCTTTCTTTACAGTTCTGATATTGTGAATAACAGCATAAGTGGACTGGTTGACATAATATATATATTATGTAACAATTTACCAGACAACACATTCCAGTCATATATATCTTAATACACTTCTAACATCATCAGGGCTATGCACTTTCTTACCAAAGTTGGTTTGAATCCGTAGCTAAGACTTTTGTACTACACAACATTATGTTTTGACAAAGTGTCAGGCCATCATTGTTTTTAACAATAATATAATATAGAATAATTTGATTAACAGTTACAACTCATTTGGAAATTTGGAATTTAAATATTGTCCGCCTATCGTATTGTTAAAGGAAACAAACCTCAACGATCTGTATCAACATCCCCTTCCAGGGGCGTACCTCGGCCTATTATGAGTGTACGCCAAGTGGCACGGTTTTTGGCAGAAGGATCGCCAGATAACTATATATCAAATATAGCTATACAATGTGCTATAACTAAGGATTTAGGGGATATTTAAGCTTATTGTACTACTATTGTCTTTATCTACAGTTATGAAAATAACATAAAGTACATATATTGAATGTAAGAGAAATACTGCGAATTCATTTATATCCGTGGGCATGAAATTTCATGGTTTTATCAAAACGGGCATTTTGTGGGTTCTTAAATTCATGGATTTTCAATTTCTTGTAAAAAAAATAAAATAAATAACCTAATGCAAAGTAATCTTACACTTAATCGCCGCGCATTTTACTTACCGCGTGTACATATCTTTACGTACGATTGATTACACAAAAAACGGCGGGAAAAAGGCCGATGCATGTTTGTAATACTACTATATAGAATAGAGACATGGCAAGAAGTATTTGTAGGAATAAAATTTCGTCAGACCTTAAATTCGTGGATTGACTTACCCACGAAAAAAACACGAAAATTCGTGCCCCACGAATAATAATGATTTTACAGTAGCACGAAGTGTACACTGTTTTAAAAATCACACTTTTTAACAAATAAAATAAAAATCAGTCTATGGAGGGGCACAAAACTTTGACAGGACAAAGTTAGGTACATGTCAAGCATTGCCATGTGTTTAATGTTGCACTTTCATTTTACTTTTTAATTTGAATATAGGCCTGAAATGTAACACCTTTTTTTCACCTTTATTCAAAAATTCGTAGCAGTTTTCCGGACCTTTTTTTATTTTGAATATAATTCAGTACCATAAAGCAATGTTAATGATAAAGATGGTTTTGTCAGACAAACAGAACCTCCCAACCCTTTCCGTGTTGTCTGCAAAAATATTTTCCGAAATATTGATTTACCTAAAACATGGGGTCTGTCAGTTATTCGGTATTCCGCATGGATTTTCAAACTAGAATTCCCCAGGTGTTGCTTATTTTTGAAAGTCGAAAGTTCTCTTATGTAACTTTAAATAACAGGTAAAACTTCAAAACATATAAATCGTGGTACTATTTTAAGTGTTGTTTAGCATAGAAAACAAATGTATCTCTGATTGATGAAGTATAATGTGGATGCATTACTGGTAAAAATAGACTGTACTTGACAAAAATGATAAACGTCCAGAAAACTGCTAGGGGATGGAAACTGCTAGGAAACCAGTAATGATTTTACAGTAGCACAAAGTCTAACGTGTACACTGTTTTAAATAATTCAAAAGTTATTTGCTTTTAGAAAAACAAAACATAGCCAGGTGTCTCTCTGGTAAAAATCATGGGTTTAATTTCCTTTTGAAACAAGTTTAGTTTTTTCTTTGTTATTTTTCTTTTGTTTCACCTTACATTAACATGAGATATAATCAAGGAAAATATGCTTTAAAATGATCTGTATGACTTTAATACAAACACAACAGCTTATATGTTTAGTGTAACAAAAGTTATCATATTCACAGCTAAAATGTAGTATCCCACGATCATTTAGCTTCCTTAAAATATTTTTTAATGCGTAATATGTCAATGTTGTAGACAATAAATATTGTCTTTTAACATTTTTGTTCTCAACATCTATGTTTTAAATATTTAAGTATAAAAATATTATCTAGTGATTTATTTTGTAAATACTGGTATTCTTTTTTACGGTCAAATAAACAAAAGTTAAATTTGGTTTGTGACAATGGATGTTGGCAATAGTTCGCTGCAAAGATTCACAGTGTCAAAACTATTCTACATAATTTGAAATGAATATAAGTTGAATGAATATTACTAACTTAACATTCGAATAAGGTAACATCCTAAGCATACCTGTCAAATTCATTAAAAGCTACAAATATGTTGATGATCTACGTCCAAATTTATTTCATTTTTGATTTTTTTTTTTAACTTTTTCTTTTTATACGCCCGTGCGTATTGGTGAATCACTGGCTTCTTATTTCTGTAAATATTTTGATCCAGTTTCTGTAGATCTATACAGCAGTTCAAAGCGTCCAGCACTGCTTGAAACAACAGTATACTTAGATCTACTCGCTATCCTATTTAAATATAAAGAAACAAAATATATCATTTAAAGAACTACACACACAATTTATAGCATCTAATTAACCCCGACTGTTAAGAAAAATCTACATTCTCACATATCTACTCCTTGTAAAATGAATAGAGACACGTTATGCCATTGTGAACTACAACAACATGTCGACTTAGTTCTATATTGTAACTAAACCCATTTAATAAAAATAAAATTTATGGATACTAATGAAGTATATGTTAATTAAAGTTTATACCGTATTTTTCTTCAATTTTAAGTGTAGAGATATAATAATCTAACTTCAGCTTGCGTTTCGCCGACGCTTACTTATTGTTGTTGTACTTGAATTGCTGCCCTCGTGCGAATGCTCATTATGACATCACAAATTGTCACAATTCTACTTTTAGACACGTTCTGAATAAGAACATTCGATGAACGCAACTGTTCATATTATGTTCCACTTTATAATGTTTTAATTATTAAAGCATCATTACTTATTGAATTGCGTAAATCTAACATCAGTTACAATACATTGACCAAAAAAACTTACCCAAGTACTCAAAAACTCAAATACTTTCATGTTGCCTAGTCAGAAGGACTACCATTGAACACAGGTGTTCAACTCGTACATAGAACGCCCTTGCTAAACATAGGTATTCAAAATATAACGCGCAATGTTCCAAAATTAAACAAGTGTGAATGCATTCAATGTTCTCCTTATTTACAACGGTAATTTTGAAAATCGTTCTCTATTACAGTTGTATATCCGAAGCACTAATCAATTTTTTTCTCCACGATCTTGGTATGTGCTCGTTGTTTAATAATTAAGTTGCATATTTTTGTAAAAAAGTAGCACCTAATGCATAAATTCACAAAGTTAATGCCATGTCTGAAGTTCTGAAATCTTTGTCTGTTGCGACAAAGACTGTAAGGTCTGGTCAAAGCAAAATAACTTGAATAACAAGATATAAAATTTAAATGATTGGTATACTTAAAATAAATTCAAGACAAAGACAGAGGTAAAGAAAAATATCTTCGTTGGGCGGAGAATATGTCCATTTAAATATTGGTGAGAATTGCATAATGTTTGAATGATTTTGAGGACAAACTGTTCTGTTAGTTTACTAATAGCAAAAATATGTCTGTAATATTAATTACTTTATGAAAAAAATGAAAAACATGCCTAAAGATATTGACATCAGGGTTAACATGACATTAATTTAAATGAATTTACTATTATATTAAATAAAAATTGAATTATTCAAATTTGGTGGGACAGACTATAGGCATATGAAAAACCATTATTATATGATTGTATGTCCTGGAGACTTTAAAATCTATATCCATTATTTAGACATACATATATATTTATAAGAAGGATTAAGCATAATATGCACTATTTACAAGTGACATTCACAGCGACACTGATCACTCCCACTACACTATAGTCTAGTTTAATCAGGATGATAACGCTTTATCGGAAACGCGTGCTTAATTCATAAGTGGGGCTTAATATGCTAAGTGTTCTATCCCATGATTCAAATTATCCAATAAATATTTTTATGTATTGATACAATAAATATTTTTAATTATACAATATATATTTTCAAATATAGAACATACATATAGAAAATTATCGCACACAAATATTTTTTATGATGAGCAAGTATTCAGTAGGATTGAATAAATATTATTGTATAGAGTATAGAATTAGAGATATACAATATAAATATTGGATTTAGACCAAAAAATAGATTTACTGATTTTTGAAACGTTTAACATGCCATAGGTATGTGAGCCTCAAATTATATAATGCTTAATACTTTGGTGATTTGAACATTTCAGGTTAATTTAATGATGGCCGTGCCTGGAAAAAAGGCATCTGAAAAGGCAACAACTCTTTCTCAAGGTTGTGCTGAAGATTTTGAAGTTTACTGTCAGCCATGTGACAGAGATGATGTTAGACAACCTGCCTTTGGATACTGTGTGGACTGTAAGGAGCATTTATGCCAAGCATGTTTCATCACCCACAGGAAACCTAAACCATCACAGCATCATCAGCTTCTTGACAAAGAGCACATGCCCATGAAACAAAACCTTCAGATTGCATCAAAATCTACTCCTACTAAAAAAGCTGACAGTCTAACAATGCCGTGTTCTAAGCACACAAAAGAAGTGATCAAGCTGTATTGTCATAAGCATGATGCACTGTTGTGCAGTGTATGTGCTGCCCTTCAACACACACCACCATCCTGCCATGTAGCCTACATACCTGATATATCACAACAGACTTTAGACAGCAATGAGTTCAACAAAACTTTGAAAGACCTGGACCAAATGACAGAAAAATGCAGCAAGGTTACAAAAGATCAAAAACAAAGGGTAGCTAAATCAACAACTTCTCTTGAAGATGCTATTACACATATAGACAACTTCAGAGAAGAGATTAATAAAAGAGTAAATGAACTAGAAAAAGAGGCTAAAGATACAGCAACAACAATCCAACATGACAACAACAAAAAGTTGACAACAACAGAAACAACATGTGAGAATCTTGTCAAATCTCTTCAAGTGTCTGCCGACTCACTCAAACATCTCAACACGAACAAGAAAGCTGATCAACTGTTTACTGAACTTAAAATAGCTCAGCAACTGATTAAAGATAGCGAACAAGGAATATCACAACTACCAGCAGTTGAAAATACTCATGAATATGTCTTTGAACCAAACAAAGCCATCCTAACACTCCTTCAGAATGAGAAATCATTTGGAACTATGAAACATAAAAATCAAAAACAGTCAGCTGAGCCACCAAATCAATCTGAAGCAGCAATAAAAAGCTTTGGACATATCTTAATTGGATTTGGTTTTATTTCGGGATTGGCTGTTTCTCCTCCAAACCATTTATTTGTAGCAAGACGTGATGACCAATCAATTAAAATGATAGACCTAGAAGATATTGAAAAAGTCATTCAAAAACTATCATTTAAATCAGGACCCTGGGATTTAACAGTAATCAACAAAGATACAATTGCTGTTACAACACCATGTATTGGAAGAATTCAGTACCTTTCCTTCTCCTCCAATACCCTCTCACTGAAAAGTAAACTGAAAGTTGGTGGCAAATGTTATGGTATCAGTCATCATCAGGGAAAACTTGCAGTAACTTTTTTACATCCTGGTAAACTCCATATCATGAACTTAAAAGGTGTCATACTCAATAAAGTGGAAAAAGATTCAAATGGTGAAGATATCTTTGGTGAACCTGAATATGTTGATACAAACAGTCAATCAATCTATGTATCTGACCATAAGAAGTCAATTATGTGGTTTAACTGGCAGGGGGAGATGATAGGCAGGTATGATTTAGGTAAAACCCGTCGTAGCATTGCACTGTTAGAAGATGGGTCCCTTTTAGTTAGTGATTATTCTAATAGTATCATATATAGAGTAAACGTTGACTGTAAAATAAAAGAGTATCAATTTGTACAAAGCTCACTTGAGGCCATATGTTGGTGTCCAGAAACCAGTACACTTTATAATAGTGGGCAAGATCGTCCCTTTATCAGTTGGTATAAAATGAGCTGGTAAATGATGGGGGCATGACAACATATGATCAGGTTACAAACTGGTTCACTGCAATTTTTCTATACTTTTAAATGAGCATAAAATGTGACACACAAAAATATTGACATAAGAAAAAAGTTCTCATATACTTCTATTTGACAGTGTCAGTTTTAGACTGTTCATATATTGTTTTGTGCCAGTGGTGACATTTCACATACTGTGTAAACTGTTAAAGTCATGATTAGTTGGATAATGGATGATAATTAGAAATGAATGTCATTTTTTTTTTACTGTAAACACATGTATTTTAAGTGTGCCAATGGAGATACTGTATATGTTCTGTTAACAGTTAATCAAAGGGAGAAAACACAATGTACGTTTGATATCAACTACAAATGAATGGGTGTCACTTTTTGACTGTAAAATACATGTATATTATTTGTTGTGCCAATATTGTATAATTATAATCTATTAACAGGTGATCAAAGGGAGAAAACACAATACACTGGAGCTCCGTTATAGTGCTCATGTTGGGGTCCATGATCTCAAGACAGCGTTGTAACGAGTTACTTTTTATAACGCTCATTTTGTAATTATAGCGAAAATATCGCATTACCCCACCCACCGCCGAAACATATAAGCTTGTTAGTGGAAATGATTGTTTACTTACCTATCAATGGATATCAGTCCAAACTTTTTTATATATTATTATTTATTATTTTGTAAAGCATTACTGAATATGTTTAATATAAACATGAAATTTACGAATTAAAAATATAAACCACAAATGTATAATTGTTTATAAATTTCCAGTAAAACAACGGTGTTAAAGTGAGTTATGTGTAGTCATGAAAATTGATACCGAGTTGATGGGACTAAATTAATCGTCTTTCCTGCTGTCTCTTGTGAAAAGATCAATCATCTTCAACAACTTTTTTGCTGATAGATCGTAAGTGCATGCTTTTTAAAATTAATTGTACGCTTGTGTGATTTACTCAACTCTTTGGTGTTTGCATGTTTTAGCTAACAGTTTGATACCTGACTGATCAACTGTTCAATATGAACAAAAGAGCGGATTAACGCTTACCTGTGTATGACTTTACACCTTCTGATCATGAGTGACGTAATTATGACTGTTTATTGCACATGACTGACACATTGAACAAGCGTTATAGTGGATAAGGTGCGGTATTGATATACATGAAAAAAAAATATAATCGGCGAAAAATACTTTTTTTTTTTTTTTTTTGGAGCCAAGGCATATGAGCGTTGTACTGAGATTAGCGCTATATCGAAGAGCGCCTTTATCGCGGCTCCAGTGTATATATTTGATATCGGCTCGAGTCTAGGAGTGAATAAGTGTCACTTTTGCAATATTAATATATTTATCAGTCAGATATTTCATCATTCTCTTGATAGTTGGTCAAAGGGAGAAAACACAATATATATTTGATGTCAACTAGCAATGAATGGGTGTCACTTTTGGACTGAAAACATATTATTTAAATATTTATTATTCTTTTAACAGTTGATCAAAGGGATACAACACAATATATATTTGATAACATTACAACTACTGGTATATCATTGTGTTTATGATGCCCAGAGATTACACATTACTGATTACATATATGTATAACAGATTATCATATATGGCATAAAAGAGATTACACATTACTGATAACATATATGTATAACAGATTATCATATATGGCATAAAAGAGATTACACATTACTGATTACATATATGTATAACAAGACTATCATATATGGCATAAAAGAGATTACACATTACTGATAACAGCAGGGTATAAAGTTTGCTTGCAGACACAACTGTAACAATACCTCTAATTGTTTTTTAATAAAAAAAAAGTTGAGCTAAAAATAGCTTTCTCAGGGAAATCTAAATCACAATGATGGTGAAACAAATACATTGCCAATCAGATCTACATGCAAGGAAGTAACTTAAGTAGATCTGAACTAAAATCAGATTGTCCTTTATGTATCATAGGAAATGGTTTTGAATTGTGTTAGTTAGAATAATGATCAAGTACTTGTGATATAAATTCCTGCTACAAAATTTGTCCTTTTAACACATTTTGCTTTTCAAGGAAACTTACAACAGTCGTCTTTAACATTCAACTTGGTAGGGACATTATATTTTACTGATAATAAAACTAAATCCTATGGTTCATACGTATAACAGTGGTAAGTCATTTTTATTTTCATTTGTTTCACCATTTACATTTCTATTATACATGTTTACATAGATGCTTAAAACAGTAATATGAACCTTTAGGACCATACAAATCTCTATGTCTCTAGTCATGTTACACAGTGAACACTCCAACTTGATAGGCGAACTCAAACAGGGTCACGTAAGACAGGAATCAATGAATACAGTGCGTCACTATGGCAGTTTTGACTGTATCTTCATTGCTTACATGCTATACTGCACCCTGTTTAAATGCTTACCTCCTTATCAGACTCATGGGCCTTGGCTTTGTCCCCCCCACCACACCCCCAAAAAAACTGGTATTTTTCAATTGCCATAAAATATTAATAAAACATGTACATATACATGTATTATGTAACACATGCAGTAACACTTGTTTATTTTATCTGGCCTGTACAATAAATAATAATCCACAGCTTGGCCTTAATCTGCTCATTTTGTTGATGATCACTTTCATGACAATCCCAAAGTCAAAGCTGTGACAAATTGAGTTACCAACAGAATTATAGGCCAAAATGACTGTCTGTCTACTCAAATGCATTTTGGGCTGCCTCAACTTAGAAAACACTCTTTCTTGTTTATGATAAAACCAACAAAGGCCACTGCCTGGTAGGGGCATTGCTGTACTTTTTTAATTTTTTCTACACACAAACAACTAAACAGTTTAAACAAATCTTTTAAAAAACTTTAAAAAAAAATATTTTTTCCTTTTTTTATTTTAATGGGCCTGTCAAGTCAAAATTGTTGTTTGATCTAAGTATGATTTATTTCTGCAAATAGATAAAAAATACAATGTAAGAAAAATTAAATAATTTAAAAATCAAGCTCATAATTATCTAAATTATTCAACATATTGGTTTGGTCAAAAGTCTTGTTTTGTCCATGCATAAATCAAATCCATGCATAAATAACAAAATTAACTTAACAAAAATTAACTAGAACTATCACTAAATGTGATTAATACCCCCACAAGACTGCTTCGGAAATGAGGATGTTACTAGTAACAGAATACCTTGTAAAACAATTGAAATATAGAGTTATGGTTGTGGGCAATTAAAGAAAGTTGTGGTTCTTGTATGTTGCATTTCCTTTCAATGTGGTTGGCCATTGATGAAGTTTAATTGAATTACTCTGTAATAAGTCCAGAAAGACAAAGAAAAAGGAACAAAGGGCAATAACTCTATAAATACTGAAGATAGAGTTATAGTTCTTGTGCACTGCACTTCCTCTTATTGTGCTTGACCATTGTATGAAGTTGTTTTGAATTCCAACCAGTATGTTTTAAGTTATGCTCCTGACAAGGAAAAGTATCAAAGGGCAGTAACTCTGTATTTTGTCAAAATGGAGTTATGGCTCTTGTGCACTGTACTTCCTTTAAATGTCCTTGATAACTGTATGAAGTTGTATTGAATTCCAAACAGTAGTTTTCAAGTTATGCTCTGAACAAGGAAAAGTAACAAAGGGCAATAACTCTGTAATTAGTCAAGATGGAGTTATGGTTCTTGTACACTGCACTTCCTCTCAATGTGCTTGACCATTGTATTAAGTTATATTGAATTCCAACCATTAGTCTCCAAGTTATGGTCCGGACAAAAAAAGCAATGGAAAAGTAGCAAAGGGCAATAACTCTGTAATAACTTTAGATAGAGTTATGGTTTTTGTGCACTGCACTTCCCCTTATTGTGTTTGACAATTGTATGAAGTTGTTTTGAATTCCAACCAGTAGTTTTCAAGTTATGCCCCGGACAAGGAAAAGTAACATAGGGCAATAACTCTGTAATTAGTCAAGATAGAGTTATGGTTCTTGTGCACTGCACTTCCTCTCAATGTGCTTGACCATTGTATGTAGTTATATTGAATTCCAACCATTAGTCTTCAAGTTATGGTCAGGACAAGGAAAATGCAACAGACGTCTAAATGCAAAGGACGTCTGGACCGACCGACTCAGCAGCCCGCCTGCCCGACCGACCCACCACCAGGTGACTCCTATATTCGCCCCCCCCAAACTTCGTTTTTGGGGGTATAAATAGTCATCCAATTATAGAAATTATCAGTGAAAATTCAATTATTTAACCTTCAAGGTCAAGGTCAAACACAAGTAAAGGTCAAATTGAGTCTGACACACATTATGGTCTTTACCTAAGAGATGTTGTGTTTCAATATGAAGTAAATCCGTAAATAAATAACAAAGTTATAGCCAGTTACTGCAAAGAACAAGAGAATTTCATTAATGACCTTGACAGTCAAGGTCAGTTAAAGGTCAAAGTCACATCTAAATTATTCAACATGTCTGTTTGGAAGAAAGTCTTGTTATGTGCAAGTAGAATTCAAATTCCTACGTAAATAAACATATGACAATTTAACCAAAATGCAATAATTTGACCTTCATGGTCAAGGTCATTTAAAGCTCAAAGTCAAAGTCAGTTCAACCTTTTAGAAGGTCTTGTCCAAAAGGTTCAAGTATGAAGATATCCATTTATAAATTACCAAGTTATAATTGAGGTCATAATTGAGCCATTGAAAGTCAATTTGTGTTTGATACACATGAATGTCTTATCCTAAAGAATGTATCTAAATTTGAAGTCAATCCATTCATAAATTACCAAGTTATAGCCATTACAGCAATAAAGAATAAAATTTAAGTTATTTGACCTTCAAGGTCAAAGTCATTCATGAGTGAATGTCAAGGTCTTACTGGTTAACTTGAAGGACTATCCTAAAAGATTGTTGTGTTCACGTTTGAAGACAATCCATTCAAAAATAATAAAGTTAAAATCAAGCAAAATTTAGATATTTGACCTTGAAGGTCAAGGTCATTTTTGTATGAAGGTTTAGTTTAATCTAAGGTTTAGTCTGGCCTACTTGGTGGTTGCAATTCTGATGCCTCAACCCTACAGGTAACCCCTCACCTTGGATCTTTACATAAGTGTTATAACGGAGGAAGGTTTTCAGTTTGCTAATTCATTGATATGACTGAGAGTTGAGATGGGTTAAAATGTGTTATATACCCAAATTAAAAATGTACAATTAAAGTACAACTAGAATCAAATACATTTTTAAAATCCATTCATCAAATAAGTCTATGCGAGTAAATTATTATAATGCTTAATATTATAGGTGAACATTTCGGATTAGATATGGCTGTGTGTGGAAAAAAGGCATCTGAAGAGACAACAACTCTTTCTCAAGGTTGTGCTGAAGATTTTGAAGTTTACTGTCAGCCATGTGACAGAGATGATGTTAGACAACCTGCCTTTGGATACTGTGTGGACTGTAAGGAGCATTTATGCCAAGCATGTTTCATCACCCACAGGAAACCTAAACCATCACAGCATCATCAGCTTCTTGACAAAGAGCACATGCCCATGAAACAAAACCTTCAGATTGCATCAAAATCTACTCCTACTAAACAGGCTGACAGTCTAACAATGCCGTGTTCTAAACACACAAAAGAAGTGATCAAGCTGTATTGTCATGATCATGATGCACTGTTGTGCAGTGTATGTGTTGCCCTTCAACACACACCACCATCCTGCCATGTGGACTACATACCTGATATATCACAACAGACTTTAGACAGCAATGAGTTCAACAAAACTTTGAAAGACCTGGACCAAATGACAGAAAAATGCTGCAAAGTTACAAAAGATCAAAAACAAAGAGTAGCTGAATCCATAACTTCTCTTGAAGATGTTATAACACACATAGACAACTTCAGAGAAGAGATTAATAAAAGATTAAATGAACTAGAAAAAGAGGCTAAAGATACAGCAACAACAATCCAACATGACAACAACAAAAAGTTGACAACAACAGAAACAACATGTGAGAATATTGTAAAATCTCTTCAAGTGTCTGCCAACTCACTCAAACATCTCAACACGAACAAGAAAGCTGATCAACTGTTTACTGAACTTAAAATAGCTCAGCAACTGATTAAAGATAGCAAACAAAGAACGTCACAACTATCAGCAGCTGAAGATATTGATGAATATGTCTTCGAACCAAATCAAGCCATCCTAACACTCCTTCAGAATGAGAAATCATTTGGAACTTTGAAACATAAAAATCCAAAACAGTCAGCTGAGCCAACAAATCAATCTGAAGGAGCAATAAAATTCTCTGGTAGTGTCTTTGTTAGAGGAGATTTGAGAACGGGATTGGCTGCTTCTCCTCCAAACCGATTATTTGCAGCAATTCATGAGAAACAATATATTGAAATGATAGACATAGAGATTGGGCAAGTCATTCAAGAACTATCACTTAAATCACAACCCTGGGATTTAACAGTAATCAACAAAGATACAATTGCTGTTACAATACCAGATAGTAAAAAAATTCAGTACATTTCCTTCTCCTCCAATACCCTCTCACTGAAAAATAAACTGAAAGTTGGTGGAAAGTGTCATGGTATCAGTCATCATCAGGGAAAACTTGCAGTAACTTTTTTACATCCTGGTAAACTCCATATTATGGACTTAAAAGGTAATGTACTTGAAAAAGTGGGAAAAGATTCAAATGGTGATGATATTTTATGGGAACCTAAATATGTTGATACAAACAGTCAATCAATCTATGTATCTGACAGTAAGAAGTCAATTTTATGGTTTAACTGGCAGGGGGAGATGATAGGCAGGTATGAAAGCCGTGATTGTCGTAGCATTGCACTGTTAGAAGACGGGTCCTTTTTAGTAGGCGATCATTGGGGAAAATTCATATATAGAGTAAGCGATGACTGTAAAACAGAAAAGAAGTATGAAATTCAATTTCCATATGAGGTCATATATTGGTGTCCAGAAACCAGTACCCTTTATACAAGTATGCATGAAGATTGGGGATGTATCTATTCATATGATCTAAAATTAATATAGCTGCAATCTCATTGGTCTAAAAGGAGAAAACACAATGTACATTTTATATCAATTAGAAATGAATGGGTGTCACTTTTTGACTGTATAATACATGTATATTATCTGTTGTACCAATATTGTATAATTATGTTCTATTCACAGTTGATCAAAGGGAGGCAACACAATATATATTTGATATCAACTAGAAATGAATGGGTGTCACTTTTGGACTATAAATATATTATTTAAATATATTATCTATTTTGTAAACAGTTGGTCAAAGGGAGAAAACACAATATATATCAACTAGAAATGAATGTGTGTCACTTTTTGCCTGTAAAATACATGTATATTATCTGTTGTGCCAATATTGTACAACAGACTTTCATATTATATACGGCATAAAATACCATGGTAACACACAATTCTTTCTCTTTATATTGTATATATATCTATATCTAAGTGTACTGTGTATACATATGATAAATATCAAATGATTGCAATGTTCATTAATACTGATATTCTTGTGTAATAGTTTAAGTGTGTCCAAAATGTTATCAATGAAGGTTCTATGAAAACTGTGGATGTTTCTAACAGATCATAAATTTCAGCTTTCCATGTTTAAATGTCGAAATCTGCTTAAGCGGGCGCAAGGGGGCACAGATGGTAGTTTTCAATTACCACAACCTTCTATGAACAGATTCAATAAAACAAAACCTGCAATTGAGTACCTTCATTAAAGATGCGCTACATAAAATAATTGATGGTGATCTACAAGTTGTAACCTAAATAGTTTATTATTTCTAACCAAAAATGATTTGTGACAAACTCAGTGGACAAATTAAGCTAAGCAGACCAAAGATGACCATCGAAGCAAGTCGAGTACCAAACATAAAGAAATATTGAAGTATATACATGTTTGATGTTTATATTATATTTAGAAATTGTATGTTGTTATACAGTTTATACAAAGGGAGACAACACAATTCCTGATTTAGTGTATAAAGAATTAGAATTTTTGTCACATACAAAACAACATGGTACATAATTTTTATGACTTTGTATTTTTAGTTTTTAATTCTTAAGGCTCTAAATTACTTTTTTTTTTTCATCATTCATAAAAATGAAAGATTGTTTGTATATGACTGTTAGTTTGATAGAATAAATATGTTGAATCTTTTTCATCATTGTCTTATGTCTTATTTTACCTTGCAGTGCTGTTATTTGAAGTGACCATTTATATTAACAACGGTGGGTCATACATATTAGTAGCATGTTCTGGATCAGTAATTTTTCACTGTTTCAAAAGTTTCTGGGCAGAATTTCATTGTCTACTTTTGGGCACAATACCATAATACAAAAGGTACCCTTTACAGATACATTAAGAGTAAAAAATCTTGATGGAAGCCTAGAAGAATGTTTTATGCCAAGTCTGGAAATGAATTGTCTTGATAATAATGTTCATAAAGGCAATTACTTATTCAAAAAGTTTATATTACATAAAAATTCTTATTTGAACAATATGGAAGGAGTGCACACAATTAAGTTTAATGACTACAACAGCATTATAGTTCATAACAAGAGGTGTTGGTTGGACAACACGCTCGACTATTCTTAGTGCTTGAAAGTAAAAGAACCTTGATAATGTATGATTTTCTAAGTTAACAAAACGGCAATTTTTTTCTTTAAATCCATGTTACAGTTATAGGCCTTGGAGAGAGTCCTATTATGCTCTCAAAGAAGAGTATAAAATTTCAACATGTTTCATAGCCAGATGTCAATGGAATATGAAAATATCTAAGGTGGTATGCAAACTTTAATGTAAATTCTAAGTCAAAAAGGGGGCATTATTCTGTCAAAATGCTTGATAGAGTTTCCACCTCTTGTCTACAGAATGGGGGCATAATGGTGAACAAATGTGCAAAGTTTCAAAGCCTTACTTCAATGGACTTTGTAAATATTTGAGGTCTTACAAAAACTTTAACATAAATTCTAAGTTGAAAAAAGGACATAATTCTGTCAAAATGCTTAATAGAGTTGCATCCTCCTGTGTACACATTGGGGAAATGATGGTGAACAAATGTGCAAAGTTTCATAGCCAAATGTAAATGTGAGAATTTCAAATTTTATATTTTTTAGGCCTTTTGACCTTGGTGGAGGGTTAATTATGGCTGTACAATTGGTTAAAAAGGCATCTCAGAAATTATCAATAACTCTGTCTATAAGTTCTGCTGTAGATATTAACTAGAACTATCACTAAATGTGATTAATACCCCCACAAGTCTGCTTCGGAAATGAGGATGTTACTAGTAACAGAATACCTTGTAAAAGAATTGAAACAATAGACGTTGATGTTGTGGCAAAAGATATGTAGGTTCAGTTATTGTTTGTATCTCTTTTCTATATTGTGGTTGGCCTATTGTATAAGTAATTCGTAATTACTCGTTAAAAGCCAGAAAGACAATAGAAATAAGAACAAAGGTACTTAATATACTCTATATATACTGAGATAGAGTATTTATTTCTTTTGCACTCTATTTTCCTCTTATTGTTGCTTTTTTTGACTCATTGTTTTATGAAGTTGTTTGAATTCTTCTTCTATATCATTAAGTTTATATTTTATGTCTCTCTGTATCATAGTGAAAAGTATCAAAAGCTCTTTTTTTTTAGAGTTATATCTCTACATAAGAGTAGCCCTCACCACCCTTTATGTCCTACATACGGGCCTTGGTGTGAAGATGTACTGAATTCCAAACAGTAGTTTTCAAGCACATTGAGAGGAAGTGCCGGCAATATGCACAACAAGGGATGGTAATGATCACTCGTGAAATTTCATTGAAATCCCACCAGTAGTTTGACCTGTGATAGCCTTACAGGATTTTCTATTTTAATCTCTGGCAGCCATTTTGTGCAGCAAAGCAGAACATGGCGTGATGCGCACAACTAGATGAATTCCTGTGAATTTTGGTGAAAATCCCACTAGCAGTTTGACCTGTGATAGCCGAACAGGATTTTTCTATTTTAATCTCTGGCAGCCATTTTGTGCAGCGCAGCAGAATATGCAGGCAATATGCACAACTAGGGATGGTAATTATCACTCATGTGAAGTTTCATTGAAATCCCACCAGTAGCTTGACCTGTGAAAGTCTGACAAGATTTTTCTATTTATAGCTCTGGCAGCCATTTTGCACAGCAAATGGGAACATACTGCGATATGCACAACTAGGGATAGTACTGAACACTCAAGTTTTCATTGAAATGCCATGAGCAGCTTGACTGGTGTAAGCTTGACAAGATTTTTCTATTTAAAGCTCCGGGGGCCATTAAGTGCAGCAGAGTGGAACATGCCGGCGATATGTACAACTAGGGATGGTATTGTTCACTCCTGTGAAGTTTCATTGAAATCCAACCAGCAATTCTATCTGTGAAAGCCGAAAAAGATTTTTCTATTTATAGCCCTGGTGGCAATTTTGTGCAGCAAAGTAGAACTTGCTTGCAATAATTATGCACAAGTAGGGATGGTACTGATCACTCTTGTACAGTTTGGTTGAAATCCCACCAGTAGTTTGACCTGTGAAGGTCTAACAAGAATTTTCTATTTTATGCTCTTGCAGCCATTTTGTCCAGCGAAGCAGAATGTGCTGGCAAAATGCACAACTAAGAATGGTACTGATCAATCCTCTAAAGTTTGGTTGAAATCACACCAGTAGTTTGACCTGTGAATGCTGGACAAGATTTTTCTATGTTAAACTCTGGCAGCCGTTTTGTGCAGCGATGCGAAATGTGCCGGCGATGTGCACAGATAGAGTTGGTACTGACTACTCCTGTAAGGTTTTGGTTGAAATCCCACAAGTAGGTTGACCTGTGAAGGGCGGGCAAGATTTTTCTATTTTTAGCTCTGGCGGCAATTTTTTGCAGCTAAGCAGAACTTGCCGGTAATGTGCACAACAAGGGATGCAGTGATGTTTCTCACTTAATTGGGAAGAGGCCTTAATGACTTGATTTTGGGAAAAATTATCGCTAAAACTGCTAATTTGGGAAGTAAAAATGCAGGTTTAAGTTCAGATTTTAAAGAAAATTTCAATTGGGAAGAGGCCTTTTAACAGAGTCTGTAATATAAGTTGGAAAATCACTGGGATGGTACTGATAACTTCTGTGAAGCTTGTTGAAATCCCACCAGTAGTTTGACCTGTGAAGGCTGAACAAGATTTTCTATTTTTAGCTCTGTCGGCCATTTGTGCATAGAAGCGGAACGTGTGGGTGATGTGCACAACAAGGGATGGTACTGATCACTCCTGTAAAGTTTGGTTGAAATCCCATCAGTAGTTTGACCAGAGAAGGCTGGACAAGATTTTTTCTATTTAGCTCTGGTAGCCATTTTGTGCAGCGAAGCGGAACGTGTTGGTTTTTTTCACAACTAGGGATGGTACTGATCGCTCCTGTAAAAGTTGATTGAAATCCCACCAGTAGTTTGACGTGTTAAGGCTGGGGAAGATTTTTCTATTTTCAGCTTTGGTGGCCATTTTGGGCAGCGAAGGGGAATGTGCCAGTATTGTGCACAACTAGGGATAGTACTGATCACTCCTGTAAAGTTTGGTTGAAATCCCACCTGTGAAGGAGGGACAAGCTTAATGTGGATGGACAATCGGATGGACATGCCATTTAAATGGACGCATGGGCCATTTCCTTTGTTATTTTCTTTTGTTTAATAGAGGGCCATGGCTCCTTATTCTATTATTACGGAATGAACTTTATTGTTGTCTTTTGTTCTGTTTACAGTTACGTGGCCCCCTACTTCTCTTTAACAGCCTGGATGGACAGACAGATGGACAGACAGCGATGGCAAAAACAATGTGTCTCCCAAAAATGTTGGGAAACATAATTTTTTTGCAATGCAAGGGGTGACATTTTGAGATGTTTTTACAAAAGATCAAAGGGAGACAATACAATTTATATTTGAAATTCAATGGTATATCATTGTATTATTGAGGCTGCATGTTTTGATTTTTGTTTGTTTCATTGGCTTTTATATCACACCAATACAGAAGAGGTCATATGACAACTTCCAAGCTTTACTGGTGGAGGAAGAACTTGTGTGCCCCTTTATGCACTATTTCAGGCAAAAATGGGAACCTGAGTAGAACCACTGACGTTCTGTAAGCTAGTTGGATAGCATTATCACATAAAAGAATTCCAAGACCTACACAGATGCTAGGCAAGAGGTTATAAGTAAATGACCTTATCCACTCCGCCATGGATGTCCCATATTTTGGATCACATACATGTATGACAGACTATCATAAACATACATGTGAACTCTCCCACTTTTAGCAAGAGACTCCCACTTTTTGCAGCCATATTTTCAAAGATTTTTCTTAAAATAAGGAGTATTTTCACAAATTTAAGAAATCTCCCTAGTTTGATGTCAGAACTTTCTTCTTTGTTTATTGCAAATTCTAAAATCTCCCTCGTTTTGAGGAAAAATCTCCCGCTTGATCCTTGAAAAAAGTTCACATGTATGCATAAATGGTATATAATACCATGGTCACAATCATATCAATCAAATTATGATATGTGTGTATAATTGTATGTTGATTAGCAAATAATGTATACATGTAGAATAAGTCTGAAGTGTTCGTAAAGTATTTTCTTGTATAACAGTTCATCTGTGTCACATACACATAGCTTTAATAGGAATCAAATGGCTTAATAGGCAATACAGGTTGATAACTTCTAGCATGTTTATACACTTATGCAGACTAGTTAATACATAAACATGAGATGTGTCCATAAGACAATTGTACCCTAAGATTTACTCTCTTCATAGTCGTTGTACCGTGGCCTCTAAATGCTTGCAATGTTTTCGTTTCTAAGCCAGTTAAAACGCATCAGTATTTATCAACAATATTCAAAGAGGACCATTTAAGACTACAAGCTAATTCTGAAGTAGTTTTGAACATTAACATCAGAGGAAAAGCAGTGTCTATTCTAGGAGGGGCGATGGGGGGATTCACCCATATTTTTGAGAATTCCCTTCTATTTTTTTAGAGACAGGGGAAAAATTTTACATAGAGAAAGAAGGGAAAAAATCAACAAATGTAATAAATTCTCACTTTTCGATAAAAATTCCCCGTTTTTCGAATCCTAGAACAAACACTAGGAAAAGATATATGTGAGAAGGGAATAGCTGTCACCTGTTACTGGATGCATTATTACCCGTCTATCCTAAAATCTCACGCGACATTTTGACTTGGGTAAGCTAAAAAAAACAAACAAAAACAACAACACTTTACAGGTAGCAGGTAATAACATCAGCACTTACAAGATGTCATCTACGAAATCTTTCTGTTCTGGAGGAATATCAACTGGTCCTTTGGAGATCCCACCTGGGTGCGAGCCTCCACTCGGAGATATAAATGCTGGCGATGCAAACACTTCATGCTTCTTCACTACCTGCTCTTTTAGCCTGGCTTCATCTGCAGGCCTCAAATAAGTTATACCATCTCGTATCCATTTGTTAAAGTCAAACCCTTGAGACATTAGAAAATCCATGCTTGAACTCTAAAAATTAAAACAAACAAAAACACCATATAATTATGCTAAATAGAAACAAGACGGTCATAATTCTGTCAAAATCCATGTTAAGAGTTATAGGCCTTACCCAGTGGCCTCATATCATGCTCTCAAATTAGTGTGTGAACTTTCAATCCATTCCCCATTCCTTTTAGTTGTTTAGGAGATTCCAACTTGCACTCAAAAAATTTAATATATAGAGCTTGAAATGTGTCCTTAAAAAACATTGGCGAATCCAGCTACAAAGCTCATTTTTTCTGTGATAGTTACAACCATCTTTCTCATCAATAGTAAGGGCTGAGAAATACAGCAAAGTAAAATATTTTCGATTCATAATAAAAAAAGTTCTCCCCTTCCAGACAATAATTTAAAACATATAGCTTTTGCTACAGCATGCATTATTTGATTTAAATGCATTCAAAATGCATGAAATGAAAGAAAAATCACACTGATGACTAGTTACAAATCTACACATATAGATTTGAACCTGGTTTATAATTCGTGTGGCAGGAAATTCAGTTCATCCAAATATATGTACTAGGATGACCTCAACATCAAGACGTTAACATTTCTATTTTTTTACTTAAATGACTGAATTTTGGCCACTTTGACAATGGTTAAGAACAACTTAGCACATGTTACGGCAATAAAACCTGTCCATCTACATTAACAAAGCATTTTATATAAAGTTTGTTAGGCCAGAGCATGGCTTGAAAACAGCTGGTACTGAGCATGAAAAGAAATGAGCCGCACCATGACAAGACCAACATAATGCGTTTGCCACCAGCATGGATCCAGACCAGCCTGCACATTCGCCCAGTCTAGTCAGGATCCATGGTGTTCGCTTACAAACCTATAACAAGTAGAGAAAACGATAGCGAACAACATGGATTCGCATATGCCCAGGCTGGTCTGGATCATTGCTGGTTGCAAACGCATTATGTTGGTTTTGTCACAGCACAGCTCATTAATGTCAATAAATTTAAATGTTTTCTAACCTGACACGTGAATCTCACATCTGGAGCAGCTCTTGAGAAAGGTCGTGGAAATATGTAGAAATTGAATGGTTTGGCTGTATACCTGAAAATAAAATTACTTAAAGTAACTCCACTGAGGTCCAAAAGCCGAAAACATTAAATTTGATTTTTTACAATGTTAAACTTAGACACTTACAACAGAAAGTTATACTAAAGACAATTAAGAAATATACTCGGAAATAAATTGAAAATTGCTTTTAATGCTCTTCTTAGCCTGATTTGATTGCAACGTTTTTCAGTTTTAGGTCATTTTTTAGAATAAGATAATTATTCTAGAAAATGGAGTGAACAATTGATCTGAATTTTTTAATACAACTTATTGGTCTAGACCTACATCAGATGGAATATTAATCATGAAAAATTGTTTCCAGTCCCGTCATGACAAAAAAACCTCAGTGGAGTCCCTTTAAATGACATGTGCATATTTCTTTCTTTTGTGTGTATTGAATTTGAAGTTTATATCATTATTTAGAAGGTTGATTTTGTTTGATTCTATTACTTGCTCTAACCACTTCTCTGCAATAATCTGTCAACTGTTTGGATGCGGTCACAAACTGCAATCTACACTAGCTACCAAGCAAATGTGGAAGTTGATTAAACCCACACATCAAAATTTTAGAGAGTGGACAAAACCCCACACATGAATGTTATAGAGTGGACAAAACCCCACACCTTTAATTCTATAGACTGGACATAACCCCACACTTTTGATTACTAATTTGTAGAGACCTTTGATTTGACAATAAAGTTAAATGTTTAATGTTAATCAAGATTTATGAATGTTTAACCTTTAATGTTTTATTCAATAGTTTGTAATATTTGAATGTTTACACTATGACTTTGATTAATTTGTATAGTCTATTACCTTTCAATCATATTATATTGTATATTAAAATAAAATGTAATATACCATTAATTATCATGATCAAAGGAATTGTATAAAATGATTAAACTAAGTATAATAATGTATCAAACTTTAGTAAATACTTTGTTTTGTTCTTTTCTTTCAAGATCAAAATCATATGAATTGTATGGTTTATAACAAATAATTAGAAAATGTGGGGTTATGTCCACTCTATAAAAATCATTTGTGGGGTTTTGTCCACTATAAAAGTTTGAGGTGTGGGCTTTTGTTCTACATTCTGCAAATGTATATCTAATTTGGATTTTTGTCAGTTGTGGAAAATTACATAATTGACTTGTTATGATTTAATGCCAGTAAGATTAAAGTTAACAATCTTTAATACAATTAATATAAGCAATACAATTAATCAACTTTCATGATATGGAAAAATAAATGAGCCGCGTCACGACAAAACCAACATAATGGGTTTGCGACCAGCATGGATTGACTGCATCCGCGCAGTCTGATCAGGATCCATGCTTTTCGCTTACAAACCCTATTACAAGTAGAGAAACTGATACATAAAGCATGGATCCTGAACAGACTGCGCGGATGCGCAGGCTGGTCTGGATCCATTGTGGTCGCAAACCCATTATGTTGGTTTTGTCGTGACGCGGCTCAAATTTGGTTCACTTACTTTTTTGTATTCCCATCATAACTGAATGCACATAACCCAAACTGTATTAACATAAAATCACATGATCCCTGCAATAAAAAATAATCGAAATTACTAGAATGTCATTGTCAAAAAATCCACCTGTCATCAACTTACATGTAAGATCCTGAATTTTGTGATGAAAGACAGCGTGCTTGACTATTAGTAAAACAAAAGCCTGGTTATTGTCGAATTTTCTTAATTCAAAAAGGCCGATAATTCTGTCAAAATCCATGTTAGAGTATAGAGCCTTGGGTAGTGACCACTTATTGTGCTCTGTGACCACTTATTGTGCTCTGAAGCAGGTAAGTGAAGTTTCAACCCATTCCTTTCAGTAGTTTTGGAGATACTAACTTGCATGCAAAGATTTTACCAAAATGCTACGCCAATGCCAACAGCTTGAGTACAATAGTTCCACCTCTTCTTCAAACAGTCGAGCTAACAACTCATTTATACACCTGATAAAATATTTCCATAATCCTGTCTAGAGCTGTCATTGACTCAGTGCAAAGCATATTGACGATACATCAATATCGGTTGACACATACTGGCAATACACCGATATATATCTATCAATACTCTTATTTTCATGTACATGTATATAAAACTTTTCATATCTGTTTAAATGATTTTAGTAAAAGTAAATGTTCTGTTCATGCAAATATGTTGTGTCCTGTCTCTAATGAACCTTTGCATGATTGTTTAATTCTGACTATATTTTGTCATCACTACTATGAAATGTGTTCATTATAAAACAACAGCTTAGTGTTAGACATGGCCACTTGCTTTTGTATATGTTTTTAGTGAATTTTCATAATTTATAGACATTTAAATATTAATAAAAATAATCGATTTTTTTCAAATGTATACAATTGTTGATTGACAGAAAAATATCAACGATACATCGATATAGTCACTCTAATCCAGCCACAGTTACTTTTATGATGCTACACTAGAACTAACCTGAATAACCACATCATAATTTCTATAAATAATTGAAAGATTAAAATGGTAAAGGACAAGTGGCATTCGTCATTCATTCTGGTTTTACAATTCACAATAGATGAAGTTACTGAAAATATGTGCCACAAATCCAAAGTTCTCTAGCTGGACATTTTCTTTTTTTAAAAGTTTTTTTTCTCTTTTTTTATAAAGTTAATAATAAGATGGTGGTCTTACCTAAGAAATAAAAAAATGTTTGTATTAAAAGCCCATTCCTTACAGAAAATGACACACAAACATACACAATTTTCAATATAAATCTTAATTAATTAAGATTCTAACTATTTCTGTACAAAATCCTTAAAAAAACACAACAATGCTTAATTAATTTTCATACAAAGAACAATAACTTATATAGAACTAACTTGTATAACTTTATGATATCTTTCTTCTGGTGTATCAAATATTGCTGTATGTGTCAATCCAGCGTGATTCAAACCGGTAAATTCCCCATCAATTGCAAGGAAACTTGCTTCTTTCACAGCAGCTTCTACTTTCTCCAAAGACTCTTGAAAATCTGAAAATTACAATTTAGTCAAAATGAACCTTTTATGTTATGATTACCTATAGAAAAGAGTTTATTATCAATGCTGTAACATCAAAATCCTAGGACCCTAATAACATGTACTTTACATGAGCACCGCTAGGCGGAACATTATGTGCCTGAAAGTGATTTTTTTTAGAAAGGATGAAGGATTTGTAAGACATGGGAATTAAATAATTTTACTACGACAGATGGACAGAATGACACAAGGGACATAACATAATATAAGCAAATTTTTTAGGGTATATAATTAATGTACTCAATATATGTGATCATCCTATGAAGTATGGCAGATGTAAAACTTTTAACAAAATTAAGGTCATTTGATATTGACCTTGTGACCCCAATATAGATATGGATCTTTTATACAATATAGGCAATCATCCTATGAAGTTTGAACACTATAAGCCAAATGGAACTTGTGTTATGCACCGGAAAGCACAATTTTCAGTGTTAACGTCACTGTGACCCTGACCTTTGAACTTATAAGCCTAAAATCAATAGGGATCATGTATTGGATATGGCTGTTCATCATATAAAATTTTACAGCTGTAGGTTGATTAATACTTAAGTAATTGAGCAAAAAAACATTTTTCGTTTTAAGGTAATAATGACCTTGACCTTTTGACCAAAAAATTAAAAGGGGTCTTCTACTCAATATTGACAATCATCCTATGAAGTTTGAACACTGTGGGCCAAATGGAACTTAAGTTATGCTCCAGAAACCACAATTTTCAGTGTAAAGATCATTGTGATCCTGACCTTTGACCTTATGACCCCAAAATCAATAGGAGTCTTCTACCCAATATGGACAATCATCCTATGAAGTTTGAATATTGTGGGCCAAATGGAACTTAAGTTATGCTCCAGAAACTGTTTTCAGTTTTAAGGTAATAGTGACCTTGACCTTTGACCTTGTGACCCTAAAATCAAAAGTGGTCTTCTACCCAATATGGACAATCATCCTATGAAGTTTGAATATTGTGGGCCAAATGGAACTTAAGTTATGCTCAGGAAACTGTTTTCAGTTTTAAGGTAATAAGCCACCCATTTTTAATCATCAGTTAATTAAGTAACTTTTACAGTATGGTCATTTATTAATAAAAATACCATTTAACTTAATTTGAAGAAATTTTATTAAATCGAAATTATCAAATAAATTTTGGCACAATAGGATGTGAAAAGTCCTGGTGTAAATTACATGTAGTTCTTGCTTCCAAAACTTCACAAGTAGCTTTTCAAACATTTTTTCTTTCATCTGATGCAGCGTTAAATTTTTGGATTGGACCAGTTATGAAACCTAACCAGAATAAGACATGTTTGCGAAACCTTATTTAAATTTGCAAATATCCTTTTCCTAATTAATTCTTTTTGATAAAAATACCATTTCATTTCAACATTGTTCTGGAATATTCAAATTAATTAAATATCAATACTATCAATAAAATTGCATACATTGTGTACCATACTGTGTAACATCAATTAAATCAGCTGATGATGACCACGACACTTAGGAGTTATGCGAGACTTCGAATGACGTTATTCATGGGAACCGCTTAGAGAACTGGCATGTACTATATCAAAAACATCTCTTTTGACATGCTTTCAAAACTCAAGATTTCAGTGACTATTTTCACTTATCAGATATTACTAGATAGTGTTCGAAATAAGTTTTTTATATGTTGATACTTGGCTTACTAATACGGGGAAGTCAAAGACGGGGTGTGCGAAGCGGGCCCAAGTTTTGGCTTGCCTGGCTTTAGACTAATGTATATATTTGAAAGAAAATCAAATAAAAAACAATTAAAAAATATATAGATTTCTACATATATATCAGTGAAATTTTCAGTGTCATTTCTAGTTAGGCACCGCCATTTTCTATGTCACTCAAATATTCGGATTAACGGAACAATCGCAATGTCTTGGCTTAATAATAACAAATTAAACCTTTAAAAAGGAAAAGTTAAAGATTTTTTTAACCGACTTCCCCGTTCATATAGGTTTTGCCTAATTTTATATTAGATTATATATACTGGTCAGGGACCATCAATCGGACACTTTTTGAACATTTTTCCATACAGATTTCATAATATTAAAGCTAGAGATCTGAAAATTTGACCAGTACAGCTTGGTTCTTCTCCTAACTAACTACTTTGTTTATTTCTGGTTATGTTGACACATCTGAGGCCCATCAATGATGGTATCAAAAATTTCCCAAATTGTCCACACCACAGTACCACATGTCCGGACAGATCATGTTCATGACATCGCTTTGATTCAATAAAAGCTTTGGTGTTTTTATTTTTTATTTTAAACAGGATATACATAATATACATAATATACAATATTTCAGCAGCTAAAGTTTTGGATATTCTATTGATTACTATGCAAATGATTATAGCTAGTATAAGAGGTCAGGTATTGCAATCTTAACATCCAAATTGTCAACGTTCTTGAAATAGACATTAAAATATTTACCTTCACGAAAGTTGACATAAAATTAATTACTTCATTGTAGAAGAAACATGCATTCATTGATGATAATAAAGTGACTGATAGATAAGCAGCCACTGAACAAAGTAAAAGGATGTCCAGGTTTGGTGGTTGTACGGTTTTGGTGGTTTCCAACAAGTACTGAAGTTTTATCTGGGTACTTGTTTCAAGACTCACTTTACTCAACTGAGTGACTCATGAATGAATTTAATACAAGCATGCCAGATTCCTGGCATTATTATTGGTGGACTTTCCCTATGGCGTTGTCTTCCGCGTACATGCCTTGTCTCTGACAGTACTGTATAAGAATGGGTATGCTGAAGACGTTAAGCCTAAGGTGTAAACCAGCCCTGGTTTGAACTGTCTTGGGGTTAGTCCAATATATCAGACGTTACAGGCTTGTTATAGTTTATTTCCATCAAGCGCTTTACTTAACCAGTATGGCCGATAGACAAAATAGATTGATGTTTGTATTTTATTTTGAATTGATAAGTACATTGTTTGAGAGTTTTTGTTTTATAATGATTCAGCATGAAATTGAAAGAAAAACTTTTGAATAAAGCTTGAAAGGCAAGACAATACACATTTTTTTAATTTTTTATGATGCTATGCATTTATGAGCAATAACTATTAGACGTCAGGCTTGACCGACATAAAACTATAACAAGCCTGTAACGTCTAATTCATTGGACTATCTTGAGGTGAAACATCTTTTCTGCAAACTAAACAGTGTTAAATTTCTTTATCTATCTCTGGATACTGCCAACCCCTCTTACGAGTGTTAAAGGCAGGAATTTAGTGCACGTCAGATTGTTAGTAAAAGGTGAAGAGAAAAGCTAAAAAGAAAAGTCCAAACATTGACATGCTTGGAAGGTGAGACTGAGAATGTATTCTAGTCATGGTTAAAATGTTAATAGTGAAACAAGATGATAAGAGATAAAATAGTTTAAAAACACTGGGAGTAAGACTAGTACTGCAAACCCACCACTGCCTGTTTGAACTGACTCAGGTTGGGCAGGGTTGGCAATGTTACTAGGAAGTTTATTCCATAGTATAATGCTATGAGGAAGAAAGAGTACTTATGGTAAGTCGGAGGATACCTGTATTTGACGTAGGATAAGGGATGCATATGTCTGGTTTAATCTATGTGGGGTTTGAACATAAGTTGGGAGATTAATTGCAACTAGGTTATGGTATATCTTATAAAACATTATCAGTCTACAGTCCAGTCTGCGATGTTTCAAGGGATCGCCAGCCCAGTTCTTCCTGCATGGGCTGTGACACTAGAGTGAGGGGAGTAATCCCTTTTAACCCATCTTATTGCACGTCTCTCTGGATCATCTCAACTTTTGTCAATATTGGTTTTAGTATAAGGAGACCAAATAGATGAGGCATATTCAAACCTGTGGGCGGACCAGGGACTTGTATGCTAGTTCTTTTACTTTCTCATTTTTAGTGATGACATTTCTTTTAATAAAGCCAAGGGATCTGTTTGCATTGGAAGTTATTCGAGATATATGTGTATAAATTTAAGGTCAGCAGATAGATCTAGTCCGAGATATTTAGCATTTGTAACAGACTCTAGGATTTGGCCATGGAGCATATATTTGTGTTTAATTATGGTCTTATTTTGGTGATATGGATGACTTGGCATTTTGAAGGGTTAAACTCCATGTCCCACTGCTTCTCCCACAGAACCATATTGTCTAGATCATGTTGGAGAGTTGGGGGGTCTGAGGAGGAATTGATGGTTAGGTATACAGCAGTGTCGTCTGCAAATAATCTGACTTGGGATTTGAGGACAGAAGATGGTAACTTGTTGATATATAGAAGGAAACAGAGGGGCCCTAGGACCGAGCCTTGGGGCACTCCAGAGGTAACTGGGACTTCAGATGAGCAGTCACTATCCACAACTACTGTCTGTCTACGGCCAATAAGGAATGACTGTATCCAGTTTAGAATTTGAGGACAAACACCATGTTCTTGCAGGGTATCTAAGAGTTTAAGATGGTTTACTTTATCGAAAGCTTTGGAGAAGTCAAGAAGTATAAGATCTGTTTGTTTGCCATTTGAAAGGTTGTTCACAAAGTAATCAGTAAGTTCAATGAGTTACTTTATTGTCATGAATAATGTCAGTCAATAATAAATGATGTCAGACTTCCTTGGGCTCTGTCGGTCAAGTTGGGGCCTAGTCCAAATATTTAGACGTAACAACGGATTTGGTGCTATTTTTTACATAAAGTGTGTCGATTTGTGATTTTGGAAATTAGCCAATTAGGGAAAGACTTCGCATTTTCCAATAGACGTAAAAATGTAAAATAAAGAAAATGTGATGTCTTTCAATGAAGGACTAGTTGGGGACGTGTCCACTTGGTTGATTGGCTGTATTTTAATTTTAATACAACAAACATGCTAAACTAGAGACCATGTCATTCATGAGCAGATTTGAGTTCTAGCTTCTTCACTGCATTTTTAGGGAAAGATCGCAAAATATGTCACAATTTTCTTCGTAAGCAATCATGATGAAGAAACAATTGAATTAAAAAAAACATTTTCATGTAAACTCTCACTTTTTCTTGTGATTTCCATTTTCTACTGTGTATGTGTGTTTGTATTTATTGAGAGTTGTGTCCCATTATTTCGCGGTAGTCGCTTCCATCAAATAAAATCATTTTATTTCAATAAGATTTGTGACTGTATAGTGATTTTCTATCATGAATAATGATTTATCCGTCGATAAATATAAATCATTATTCATGAAATAATGGCCATTACACAGATATGTCGCAATATACGTTCTTGAATTGTTAATGCTTTAAGCGAACTAAAAATCACTGAGGTGCTTAACCGGTCTGAACAAGCGTTTTAGAGATTTGGAAATCCGTAATTTCCAAAGTTTGTTTCGTTGCTAGTCTGGAAAGAAAATAAGTTTGTAAGTTTGAGATAGCAACAGTACAGGTCTCAACAGTACATGACCTTCTGAAATATTTTGTTTTAGTATCTAGTGTCGAACTACCTAGATATTTTTCAATTTCTTAATGAAATGATGAACTGATCAAAATTGTCCACATAATCACAGGGACCCAGCACAGTGTTGGGATAGTGTAAAAAAGTAATTCTAGAAAAAAATATATACTGTATATAATATGAAATTAAGTGCTACCTATGGCGCAGAAAGCTCTTATGAATTATGATTTTAAGTATAACATGTTTTTGTGTACATGTAAACAAGATTTTCTTTTTCAGGTTTTTTTTCCTAAACAAAAAATAAATTGGGGGTGTTAACTTATCGTCGGAGGTTCGAAAAATTCCCCAAAAACCCGAAGTAAAGGGGACCCCTTGGCACGCGTCA